AGGGGGGGAGGCATGTTCGGCTCTACCCAAAGGCAAGTTAGTTGGCAGACTGCTTGCCTGTGGATCTGAGCTGCGGCAGCACTGGGTAACCCTCCCACAGCCAGCGGTCGAGGTCAGGCTGCCGGAGGTCTGATAAAGCCAATGGGTTTGCCTGGAAGGCAGCCTCGGAGCCCGGAGGAGCAAGCCCTCCCCCAGCATCGCTCCTTATCTCGGCAGCGCCGGCACATGGCAGCGCTCCCGGCCTGCCTTTCTGCCCCGACTCCCCGAGGTGGACTCGCGCCAGCGGCGTCATCTCTGCCCTTCCTGCCGCTGGGCGCTGCGGGAGGCGAGGGCTCTGGCACAGCCCGGCCAGGCTCCCTGCCCGGTTTGCTGCGTTGCAGAGTTTGTGCCATTGCCTCGTCAGCCGGGTGGCACACACACACACACGCACACCCCCCCGTGCTCACAGACAGGCGTGCGTGTGCGCACGGGGCCGTGGCAGAAGCGGGTGAGTCAGGCAGGAGGAGGGGGTGAATCACAGGGGACTGAGTCAGCGGGAAGCAGAGGGCAGGTGCTCTGCCAGAGCTGGGCTTTAAGGGAGCCCAAGGGCCTGGCAGCCCACGCCGGGTCCCCTGGGCGACGGGGTGAGGGTGCTGGGGGAGAGCTGGGAAAGCCACAGGGCTTAGCAGGCGGAGGCAGTGCCTGTGGCTTGGGAATGGGCTGGGAATCCATCTCAGCCATGTGCCAAACCCATACTCTGCCTGCTCCTCCTCCAGCCATGGGTAGGTTTCTGTCCTGGAGGAGCCTGGGGCATCCTCAGTGCTGAGGCTTTCCCAGGAGGGACCAAAGATGAGCACCCCAAGGGAGCAGTGCGGTGACCCCGTACACCAGCCTCTGGTGCGTGGGGTGTACCTCTGTCCCCATGCAGGCGGCCCTGGACAAGCTGGGCAGGTCTGTGTCCTGGCTGGATCCTGCCCAGTAACCTTCCCATCTGCTCTGAGAGAGCGGGGAGAGGATGGAAAAAAGAACAATCCCTGCTGGAGCAGAGATGGATAAACAGATAGCTCTGGATTGAGTGAACACGGCGTGGGGAGAGAGCTGGGATGGGGATGATGCGCTGCATATCTGGGGACACAGTTGGGTTGGTCATTGGCTCCAAAATCCCTTGTGTGACCTGGGCTCTGCTGCAGACCCTGAGGGGGCATTGGAGGGCTTGTGGATGGCTGCTTGCCTCATCCAGGGACCTGCTCTGGGCTGTTGAGTCTCCATGTAGCCCAGCTGGTCTCTGCTGAGTGTGACACCTGGTGGTCCTGCTCATCGCTCCTGAGGGCAGGTCCCCTGTGGGCATGATGGAGGTAGGCCTGCTACCGGTGCCCCAGCGGCGAAGCCAAAGCTCTCTGGATTTAGGGCCAAACTTCTTGGAGCAAGTGCTTGGGACTCTGGGCTCGGGACAGCCTAGGTGTGTTGCAGCAGGCACTGACAAAGGTACTTGGTATCGCTTCCAACCAGAGCAAGGATCAAATACTTGAACGAAAACAACCCGCACTGGTCTCAGTGTCGAGCTGAGTCTCTTTTTTTTCAACACCCCCAAGGTGTGCAGATGTCTGCAGCTCAGGGCTGGCCACAGGTACCTCTTCTCCTCCCTGCTGGAACACCTGAGTGGGCAGGATGGGGGCTCTCAGGCTCCAGTGCTCTGCAGAGATGCCCTGGAGCTCTGGTCCCTCCGTGGGGCTGCCAGTGTGCTGCAGCACATCGGGGGCAGAGGCTGAGAGCGGTGGGTTTGTGCAGCCTGCGAAAGGGAAGGCAGCAAAGGGGGCTCTCACTGCTGCTGGCAGCTGTGGGTTTGGAGAGAAGCTAAAGCTGGACTCTCCCTGGAAGCGCCCAGGGACAGGGTGAGTAGCAATGGTACAGAAGGGAAACTCCAGTTAGATATTAGGCAAAATATTTCTCCACAGGGGCAGTTAGACTCTGGAGCAGGGCCCAGAGAAGGGGGAACCGTCTCCATGTTTGGAGACCTTCGGCCCTTGGCAGGGGCAAGCCTTAGGCAACCTGCTCAGTGTTGGCCCTGCTCTGAGCAGGTTTGGACTGAAACCCCCTGAGGTCCCTTCCCACCACCATTCCCCAGTTCTGCAGTTCTTGGGGCGCTTGGCAATGCAGCAGCTCATGGCCTGTTGGACTGACCAGCTCGTAGGCAAATGGAGGGATCAGGGGTTGTTCTCTCCATCCCCTTCTCCTGGCTTGGTTCTTCTTGTCTGAATGGTATTAGCAGTGCCAGTGGATGGAGGCACTGCCTTAGCAGCTTTGCCTAGCTCGTTGCTTTGCCCCCACCTATCTTAGCCATCTCCCCTGAGGTCTGTACTATTCCTTCCCTGCTTGAGCACAAAAAGCTGGTCAGCAGTAAAGCGTGGGACAATAAACCATCCGCCCTGCTCTGCTGGCAGTGCAGAGCTGTGATCTGTGGCAGGGTGCTGGCACGGGTGGGAAGCTGGGGAGGATGCTGGCCCCCGGCCCTCTGGCTGGAATGGCTCCAGGTTTATCTTCCCCGCGGTGCCTGTCCCAGAGACAGTGGCAATTGTGGGGGAAGCCACCAGTAGCCTTTTTGAAGGCTCCAGCTGCTTGACCATCCTGAGCAGATAGGGAGCAGGTGGAGGCTGAGATGAGCCCAAAGGGCTTTCTGGAAAGAATTACTTGCTCCTAGTATTTTCTGTTTCTTTGCCAGCCTTTTATCCTCATGGCTGCTCTTTTCCTGATCCTGTCCTGCAAGGCTGGCTGCTGGCAGCCTTATCAGCCTTGTTTTCAGAAACAGCTTCACTCTGCAGTGTATTGTGTTGCCTCTCGTGCCTGACACTGCAAAAGCCCATGTCCGGTGTGTAAGTGCTCAAAGGGTGTTTAGTGTTCGCCCCATCCCGTCTGCAAGAATAATGAAGCAGAGCAAAGGGGTCTGCAGGTAGCAATGGCATCTGGGCAGAGCTGACCTGCAGTGGTAGCTGCGTCTGCCTCCCTGTCTGGCAGAGGCTGGGAGCATGTCCAGGCTCCTCAGATGCTTTTATGTGGGTTTTCAAGGTCTAGGACATTCCCATGAGCCTGTGTTGGTCCCCAGATCCCTTCCCAAGTTGCTCCTCTCAG